TAAGTCTTGGGAATGTACCACGTCCACGGTTCAACTTTGGAAATGATCATGTAGACAATGGACCCCGGACTAGGTGAGTTCCAATAAATCTTCTTACCAATATGACCATGTTGCGAAAACAGGGTCAAACAACCTCTAGGCTGACTAAGTTCTATGGGAAGTTGCAATTCTGGTTTTCGAGAGGTCGCACTTAACCCATGTTAAGTCAAGTCTGGTCACTTGTGGCTTGGGTTCACTTGTGCAAATTGCTCACTATGACATGATAGGATGACGCGAATTGGAGATGTTTGCACGCTATCTCGTCTAATAAGGTCAGAACCAACGAGTAGAAGGGGGCTCAGACCATCTTTGTTATCTGCAAGCCATAATAAATCCCGGTACTATGATTCAAGCAAATCGAATACTCAAGGTTGGTTGCCTTGATTTGCGTCGTCAACTTTTTAATATACTATTCGAAAGGAACCCTCTAATTTGACTTTTAACCCTTTTCTACGTAGACGCATGTGCTTCGGTCGTATGTAAGAATGCTGGCACTTGTCATGTCACCGGTGGCGCCGCATCTTGTCAATGCCCGAATCCGTATACAGACCCGTCCTGTTCAACAGGTAAGCAGAATTCTGTCAGAGGCAAACATGAATGAGGTCATTAAGACATAGAACAGATGATATTATATCATACCTCTTTACATTAAACTAATCTAAACAAAGTTAATATAAATTAAGGTAACCATTACTTTGTATATATGTAAAATAGGAATTTATTTACATAATTGTAACATAATTGTTGAGCTTACTTCCATTTCAGGTGGAAGTGTTGGTTAAAGAGATTCGATGGTCCGTTCCATCAGAAGACGACGACGGATTCATTATGACCAGCTGTCGAATGGCTTTACTGGAAGATTCATGCTGACGCTGTTTTCGAGGCAATCTTCTTCGATTCCGGTGAATAGGTGCTAAGCTTTCGTCCGTCATATGACGCACATCATCAGAGCGAGGTGACATCTTCACAACAAAATTCAAGCTCTGATGATGTGCGTCACATGACGGACGAAAGCTTAGCACCTTTTCACCAGAATCGAAGAAGATTGCCTCGGAAACAGCGTCAGCATGAATCTTCCAGTAAAGCCAATCGACAGCCAACACTTTCACGCGAAATGGAAGTAAGCTCAACAATTATGAAACAAAAGATTCCTCGAAACACAACTTTTCTTCATATTATTTTAACATGTCTGTCAATCTGTCTATCTCGCATACAGATGCATGCACAAGTCTCGTCTGCAGCAACGAAGGAGTATGCGTGGCCAAATCGGGAGTCGGGGTCTGCGAATGCCCATCACCCTACGGAGATGCTACCTGCTCAAAAGGCGAGTCCGTTTTGCCAGTGTGTTACATCACTTCAATCTGGAACCCAGCATCCAGTGGAGTATGTTTCCACCACAAACCTGATTGCTCAGCCCTTTGCACTCGAGTTGCCCTACATGGTGTTTGAAGACACCCACATTAGGGAGCACTGGAGACCAGCTTCTGGTCTGCCAAGTGCCTATATAGACTCGGATCATCAAGGCCTAATGACACAAGAGAAAGTTCTGACCGAGAGTGCGTAAGTCCGTGAGCAAGTATGGTTAAGATAATGAAATATAAGCTTGTAAATATGCAGGTCAAGTTACGAAACCACTTGTCCTAACCTCTCTTTGTGTAGGGTCATTAATGTTTAGCCCCCCAAAGAAAGGTATGGCTGGGGCTGCGTAATTTGACGTGTCTGGTTTGGTTGATGAGCTTACTCTAACATTATGGATGAAGTGTGAGTGAGCAGACAAGTTGAGTTGCCTTCTTTTTGACGGCGGCCTAAAACCCTCTCTCTCCTTCAATCTATCAATCAAGCATAAATAGTTCTACTCAATTTTCTACCACGTATTTTCTAAGCTATTAATTTCAAGACCCTCTTTTATCTTTCTTTTAACCACAGACGTACCATAATCAGCAAACCTACTAGTTTGAGACCATTCTATTTAATGTCCAGTTTCTACCACGTGTTTGGCCACTTCTGATCGTTAGACCCAGCTTCCTTTACGAGCATTTTTGTGTCACAAACATAACATCGACCAAATGAGCAAACAATCTTTTAGCAGCCGTATCTCGATAATGGGTCATATTTCTCTCTAAAAGATGGTATAGCAGAAGAAAGTGTGAGGGTTTCTTTGAACACTATTTTTATCCCCTCTTTCTTAATTGAATGAAAGTTTTGATTAAATGGTCTCCGTCTGAAAACTTATTCCTTAGTAGATTTATTATTCTCAATAAGGCCAAGACAAACGATTATTATTTTTCAGGAATAAGGTTATCAGTTGTTCCAACTCTTTAGTCAAATATTTACTATTCGCTAGCCTCATACTTCTAAGAAAGATTGACTTCAAAATTCCAACCTTAATCTTGTAATTATATTTGGAAATAAAATTAAGCAGAGCCAACATATGCTTGCTTCCTATAAACATTTCTTCCTAACTTACCCTCTTCTCTAATGATGAGAACATCCAGGAAAAGTAATGACTTATGCCCTTGCATTTCGATCGTGAAATTAATGTTCCTTTCACGCTCTCAACTTTCCTTCCCATGGCAAAATAATCATCCATGTATCTAACCCACAATTTGAGGGTTAGTATTGCCTCTTGCAGGAAGTGTACCCCTAGTCTTGACACATAATTGTTCGCTAAGATGGGAGCCAGGCAAGATCCCATCGTTAGTCCCTGTGTTTGTTCGTATTAATTACCATCAAATGTAAAATATGTGGTACTCATGGATAGGTTAATATGTCTAATAATGGAAGCTTCACTCAGCCTTATTGCTTGCGTTATCTCGAGATGTTCATCCAGAGTTTGTTTTAGAGCTTGAATAGCTTCTTGAACAGGAATGTTTGTGTGCATAGACACAACATCAAAATTAACTAGCCTATCATCCTCTGAAAGTGTCTGCTGTTCAATGAACTTCACAAAATCATAAAATTTTTTAACTGAATATATTTCGTATTTAAGTTGAGTTTTGAGACTACCAGTAAATCAATAATATGAGATGTATTCACCCAATTTCCCATCGAATGATGGACGAAATCTCATCCCGTTTTCACCCGAAACGAGGGAGGAGGTCTCGTGGACTGCGTCAAACTGAATGTCGTATAAAAGCCAAACGACTGCAGTACAACGAGATTCAGCCGTCTTCTTCTGCTGAGATCGACCTACGAATCTCTTCTTCATGTCCTTTCATACGAAATGAAAGTTGCCCCAACAATTAATATATCTAATATGAGATGTATTAACCCTATTTCATTTAAGGTGATGAAGGACTGGTAGTAGAATTTTCACACAATTGTATGTGTAAGGCTGAAGTTTTCAATGACTTTCCCATATCCTTGCTTTCCCAAAAGTTATTATCATCCAGGGTGAACTGCAGTTTCGACCTCGCATGAATGAGAACAACTTTTGGAAAAGCAAGGCTATGGGAAGGTCATTGGAAACTTTAGCTTTATACATACCGTTGTGGGAAAATTCTACTATCCGTCCTTCATCATATTGAATGATATAGATTGAATACATATCATATTACTTATTTAATGGTAGTCTCGAAACTCTACTTATATTCAAAAAATTAATTTATTTATCCTGTTCTCTACACCTATATCTATATCTTTACTAATCTTTAGCTTTGTCTTTATAACTTTCTTTATATCTATATCTATGTGTATTTAGCCATCTACTCATCTATATGCCCATTTATTAATTCATCGATCCATCTATCTATCTAAAACCTTTATTTATTGCTTTCTCTTGCTTGTGTGCTCACTTGGGCCACCACCTCTTCATTATACGTCATCAAATGAGGTGCAACGCAGCTTTATTTCGTTTTCTTGCTACATTATTCGTTTTAACCCCATACCCTCGCAGATTTGTGCGCTAGTCTGATCTGCCAAAATGGAGGCAAATGTTTCGTACAGTCTGGAATTGCGGTCTGCAACTGTTCTACTGGATACTCGGGCGCTAACTGTGAGCAAAGTGAGTCCTATCATCCTATCATTTGACGAATACTACCGCCAAAAATTTTGTTTTAGTTAAAACATTTTTCAACTATCCTATTTAGTAAAGAGGGTGGGTTTACCCCTAATGTTTCTATGCCTTACATAAGGCGTAAAGTGTAAAACATACGGCAAGCTGGATTACTTCTTCAAGTGGCTGGACGTCCGAGAACAGATGAACTTTTACTTTGAGTCATCAGAATTATTGCATTGTTCTAACGAAGACTGAGGGAGAAGTTTTAGGAATTCTATTTAAATTTATTTGCCAATCTGTCTGTTATGAAAAGCACTATCAATTTGAGTGACAAAAGCATGTAGCCGAAGGTTCAGATTCCTTAGACCAAAGTTTATACCTCACATGCTTAAACTACATTATCTCCGCATAATATATACCTGGGCACTACTTGCCGAGGCTTTCTATGTCAAAAGGATTTTTAAATGTATTATACTGATGCAATTTCTAAGATGAAGCATCAAACCTATAAGTATGCTTCGCTTATACTACGATTAAACTATTGTATCCGAGGGGTTGAGGTGCAAATATTTGATAAAAGTACATCTCATTACACTGAGTTACTGGTAGTCTCGAAACCCTACTTTAATTGATAAAAGTAGTTGGCAGTGGATGGCTGAATCTGGAATTTACCAATTAAAAGGATAATTTCGAGGTATAAAAAGTAACTGGGTTTCGATTAGTCTCGTAAAATAACATTATTGAGAAGACTTTCATATCGTATGAAAGTGTATGAAGAAGTGATTCGAAGGTCAATCTCACCAGAAGAGGATGGTTGAATCCCGTTTTATTGCACCCGTTTGGTAGTTCACGAGACCTCCGTCTTTTCAGGTGGGACTCATTCTCGTAAAGTGCTCAAGTTAATACTAAGACAATATTACTATCCGGCTCTATCTTACCTCGTATATAGTCTCATTTAAGCAAAAAAGAATTTAAGAACATAGATCGATATAGAATGGTTTTGTTATTTATCTTTATTCTTGTCACCTTCAACACTTTCAATCTATCAATCTATCAATCAAGCATAAGTAGCTCCTACTCCACTTTATTCCACCGCTTTTCACATTCAACGTATTTCATAATCTATTAATTTCAATAGCCTTCCTTATCTTTCTTTAAACCGCAGAGGTTACATAATCCGCAAACCTATTAGTTTAAGACCAGTTTAGTTTCTACCATGTTTTCACATGAAAAGAGGGAGGAGGTCTCGCGGACTGCATCATTCCAAACGGCTGGGGACAACGGGATTCAACCGTTATCTTCTGATGAGATCAACCTTCGAATCTCTTCTTCATACACTTTCATACAAAATGAAAATCCCAACAATACTGTTATCTCATGAGGATCATCGAAACCCAGTTAATCTTTATATCTACAGCTGACCTCGTTTTGGAACATCGTCTTCCGGTGATAGCGACCTTCAAATCTCTTCATCACGTACTCTCATCCGGAATGAAAGTCTTCTCAATAATGTTATTTTAGGAGATTATTCGAAACCCAGTTACCCTTTGTACCTACTCTACACTAGACTGGCTTCTTTGAGTAGATATATTCTACATGTTGTCGTGTGGAAAGCGTTATCAATTTCGTCTTGGTGTCTTGACTCCAGCTGGCTTTAAGCCAAAAACAGGGTATAGCCTTGTCAGGCTTCTCCCGTCTTGCAGGGCTGGGGAAGTAGAGAGAGCTGAGAAACCCGATTTTCGGTGTCAACTTGACTCTACCAGAAGCAAA